TTCTTTTACTTATTTCAGATCGGTTGGCAATCGTTTTGATATGGGAAAATCTAGCGTTTTTGTTACTTTTGTCAGGGTAATTAGAGTCATAAATCGCTTGGCTCCTCGTTTAATAACTTGGCCTTTTGGAGATAGAGCTGTTCAAAACGAGGACAAATTCTATCATATGGCACATATTAAAGGGGTAGTAGGAGCTATCGATGGTACATATGTACCAATTAAAGCACCCATGGAAAATCCAGAAGTTTATATAAATCGCAAATGCTTCTATGGTCTTACTCTTCAATGCATCTGCGATAGTTCTAGGATATTTACTAATTGTTTTACAGGCTATCCAAGCTCAGTTTCCGACGTGAGAATTTTTAGAAATTCAGATATTTATGCAGAGTTCTTGGAACATCCAAATAAATATTTCGAAGGCAACAAATTTATAATTGGTGATAAAGCTTATCCCGTACACACATGGTGTGTACCTCCGTACATTGATAGAGTTTGGCCAAATGGCAAACTGATTTCAACACAGCACATTCAAAAGCGAGACAAGTGATTGAACGTTCATTTGCATTATTGTTTGGAAGATTTCGGCGTTTAAAGTATTTAGATATGAATAGGATTGATCTGATTCCAGCAACGATTATCGCAGCTTGCGTACTCCATAATGTATGTTTGTATCATCCAGACCATCTAGCTGACATGTTTGAGGCAGAGGGAAGCTTTCATGTTTGAGAATAATAATGAAAATATAGAGAATAATGTAAATGTTGAAGATGAAAGGGCTAACGTAAATATCCAAAAAAGTATTAGATTTTGAGATAGATTAGCACGAGATCTGGCGCAAATGTAAGAATGTAGACACAATTAAGTTTAGTCGGAAGTTTACATAAAATTCATTTTATTTATTATTCAAACTATATGAAATTTTAACCTCAGCGAGATTATATATAAAAACAATATCTTTTTACTATATGTATTACACAGTCCGTTTTATATCGCATATTATAAATCTATATAATTAAACAAAATTATTTTAACATTAAAATATATTAATTTTCAATTACTTTGTACTTCGAAGTTAGCTAGAACAGATATCACATTAAAAAGATCTTATACGTTTAAAAATAAAAAATATATTACAGAAACAAAATATATTTTGTATTTATATTTATATATACCGTTTAAAAATAAAATACTTATTAAAAAAACAAAATAATCTTTGTACTTCTATTTATATATATTAAATATACACTGGTCCAAAAAATTAAAGAATCACCTGTTCTAGCCTCTAAAAATAGGCAAACTTCAAGATAGAGCAACTTCGTCAAAAATGATCATATCGAGATGTTCAAAAAAGCAT